ACTGAAAGGTGTGGACGTTTTTTTTCAGAGAGATCGCCGGTTTTTGTTTCCCATAAAACCAGTTGTTGTGTGGTTTAACGATTCACAGTTGGTATTATATAATATTATATAAGCATTCATTTGGATCTATCTTTTTGTTCGGGGTATCAGATTTTTAGCCATACCACAAACCCACGGCCTTGGTCAGGGTCATAGAAACTCCCGAGCGCTCGCTCGTCCAACTGCAGCGTGACCTGCCGATGGGAAAACTTTCGAAAACACTTTAGGTGGCTTAGTCTTTGGGAACATTCGTATATTAAAAAAAAACCGTCATCTTCGAGAAATCTTAAGACATCTTAAAACGACATCATTTTTGAGGAAGACTTGTTGACATTTTCTTTAATGGATACGATTATACCAGTAGTACCGCACAAAGCGGTGGCGGAAGTTTCAAAAATAGGAAACCTATAGGAGAGGCTGGTTGTTGTGAATCACGGATGGCGGAGCGAATCCGCTGATGGACTGAAAGGTGGTTAGAGTTGTGTTTTTTGGAGTGGTTGCAATGGTTGCAGTGGTCACCTGGTCGGTCCCCTCACCCACAGCTGCTGGATGTAGTGTGGTGTAGTGAAGTGCAGCTGTATTTCTGGTTGTAGTGTAGTGGAGCTGTAGCTGTGGTGTAGTGTAATTAGTGCAGCGTTATTGCAGTTGCATTTGTGGTGGTGTACTGGGTGTAGCGCGGTGTAATGTAGAGTAGTGTAGTGTAGTCTAAGTGTGGTGGAGTGCAAAGTTGCGTAGTTGTAGTTGTAGCTGTAGTTGTAGTCGGTGTATATAGTGTAGTGTAGTGTAGTGTAGTGTAATGTAGTGTAGTGTAGTGTAGTGTGGTGAAGTGTAGTGTTGTGTAGTACAATTAGTGTAGGGTAGTTCTAGTTGTAGTTGTAGTTGTAGGCGTAGTTGTAGTTGTAGTTGTAGTTGTAGTTGTAGTGAGTGTAGTGTAGTGTACTGGACTGTAGTGTAATGTAGTGTAATGTAGTGGAGTGTAGTGTAGCGCAATGTAGTGTAGTGCAATTAATGCAAACAGCGTAGTGTAGTGTAGCGTAATGTAGTTGTAGTTGCAGTTGTAGTTGTAGATAGTGTAGTGTAGCCTAGTGGAGTGTAGTCTAGTGTAGCGTAATGTATATAATTTGAATAGTGTAGGGTAGTGTAATGTAATTAGTGTAGTGTAGTGTAATGTAGCGTAGTTGTAGTTGTAGTGGTAGGTGTAGGTGCAGGTGTAGTGTAGTGCAGTGTGATTGAGTGTAGTGTAGTGAAGTGAAGCGGGGTGTCTTGTAGTGTAGTGTAGTGCAGTGTAATTAGCGTAGTGTAATGTAATGTAGTGTAGGTGTAGTTGTAGTTCTAGCTGCAGTTGTAGTTGGTGTAATGTAGTGTTGTTTAGTGTAATGTAGTGAAAATTGAGTGTAGTGTTGTGTACTGTAGTCTGGTGGAGTGTAGTGTAATGTAGTGTAGTTGCAGTTGCAGTTGTAGTTGTAGCTGTAGTTGTAGTTAGTGTAGTGTAGTGTAATGTCGTGTAGTTTAGCGTAGTGTAATGAAATTAGCGTAGTGTAATGTAATTAATGTAGTGTAGTGTAGTGTAGTTGTAGTTGCAGTATCCCCTTGCCAATTCACCCCAGTGACCTGGGTGTTTCAGTTTTATAGGGGACCCAGTGTATCCTTTGAACATGCCCTTCAGTGGCCATCAGCCCTATAAAAATTGAAACCCTGACAGACACATACATAATCAGCCCTATACAATCACAACCTGCTAGTAACCCATCAATATCATCAAGCCCAACAACACTACAAAATTGGGACACCCAGGTCACTTGGGGGGGTGGTACTATCTCCAAATTGACCTTTATAAAATTGGGACCATCCAAAATGGTTTGATCATAGGTGTTTTTTTAAATTAAAATTTGGTGTCCCAAGTCGCATCTTGGGGGCCTCTATTTTCCTTCGTTTATGTGTTCCCCAGTTTTATCTCAGTTTAAGTAATGCCCCAACACACGATGTAAACGTGTGCAGCAGGGGAAAAACATCTTCCACGTTGAAAGGTGAAAATGCTTTCATGTGTTTTTTTCTACTGTCTTAATTAAACGCTTTAATATGTTTGATGAACTTTATGGATTGTTTTATGTTTTTTGTATTTGTTTGTTCATGTTTTTCTCTTCTCCAGCATGCGCTTTGCGCATGCTTGAGCGCTCTGATGTAGAAAAAAAACAAAGGTGCTATGAAATTGGGTCCCTGGCATGCAGAACATTGCAGGTAGCTACAAAATTGGAATCCTTTGGTGACCAAGTTGTTTCATGAAACCATGCATTGATACACTAAAAAAATGGCGACTGAACGAAACCATACAAAACGGACATATGTCCCTATAGAATCGGAGCCTCATATAAAATTGGAGCCCTAGGCCACTAAATTTAGGCACCCAAAAAATATATAAAGTTGGGACCCGGAGGTTTGAGATAAAATTAGAGCCCACCAAAACAAGGCAAACAGGGCAGCTGAAATTGACGGGGGAACCTGTATTAAAAAATTGTTTTATACAGCACCTAGGCGTCCCAATTCTAAAGAAAAAAATGCAGGGGAATGTTGTAGTTGTAGTGGTAGTTGTAGTTGTAGTGTAGTCTAGTGTAGTGTGACTGAGTGTAGTGTAGTGAAGTGGAGTGTAGTGTAGTGTAACTAGCGTAGTGTAGCATAATGTAGTGTAGTTGTAGTTGTGGCTGTAGATAGTTTAGCGTAGTCTAGTGGAGTGTAGTGTAGTGTAGTGTAGAGTAATGTGATTAGTGTAGTGTAGTGTAATGTAGTGTAGTTGTAGTTTAGTTGTAGTGGTAGCCGTACTTGTAGTTGTAGTGTAGTGTAGTGTAACGTAGTGGGGTGTAGTGGTGGTTGTAGTTGAAAGTGTTACAAAATCCTCACGGTTTGCTGATTTTTGACAAGGTGCACAATCCGTTGCGCCTGCCACGCAAAACGACATCTGATCGCCAAAAAGCGGTCCGAACATGTGGTGTTTTTGAACATTTGTGACTTGGACATGTGCTTTGCGCCACAACGGCGTACACTTTTTCGACATCTGAACTTCCAAAAGTGGTCCGAGACCGTCTTTTTTACACGTTTGACTTCGAATTTTGCTTCGCGCCACAACGGCATGCACTTTTTCGACATCTCAACTTCCAAAAGCGCTCCGAAGTTGAGGTGTGTTGTGCAGTTTGACTTGGAAATGCGCTTCCCGCCACAAGGGCGTGCAATTTTTCATCCCTCATCTGGCCACATGGCTCCGCACCCGTCGCTTTAGCGAGCCTACTTTTCGACCCTCCGGAGCCACAAATCATTGGCAAAACACAGTGTTTCGCCACTTTGCTACCTTTTCGCGCACCTGCATCTTCTTTCTTCTCACTCTTTCTCTTCTCTGATCTTCTCTCTTCTGCTCTTCTCTTCTCTGACTCTTCCCATCTCTGCTTTCCCCGTTCCCATGAAAAATGGAATGTTTAATACAGAATGGAATGTGCTTACCTCACTTTAACCTCTCGCATACTTCAGACAGACTCTGAAACTACGTAGCTAGCTAGTCTCATATGTCCTTCGTTTCAGGTGACGGTGGCTAACATGTATGTATCTCCATTTACGGCGGCAAAATAGACTGGACTCCCTCGCTCTCTGTCTATCTGTAGCCTCGGTATTTAAACTTTATATATATATATATACAGTATGCAGATGTATGCAGTATGTATATATATATATATAAATATATAACTACGTATATCTGAGAATATCTACAGAAACTATGGATCTACCTATATTATTGATGATTCTGAGTAAACTGCAACGCGTTATTACCTGAAATAAGGCTCAAAAACTTCTGTTCAGCACTGAAACAAATCTATTTCATCATTCCATCATTCCGTCGCGACGTGAGGTCGTGATCATCTTTATCTAGATTGTTGTATATGAAACTATAATTTCAACTAGCCTTCAGCACAATTTCTCGCCGGGAGCACCTTGCAACTCTCCTGAGGTTGCAAAGTCTTGGTGCGTGCGAAGGCTTTCAGGGCACGTGGTACTTGCAGCGTCGTGATGTACAACTGGCAGCGATGGGCGTCGTCATCGAAGTTGGGAATCTCTAGCAACAAAATAGATAGGGCAATATAGGAAAAATGATGTTTTACAGAATAATTATAAGATTTACATGTACATAATATAAGAATTTAGTGGGAAAGCAAATGGGTTTTGATAAATCAACATTATTCACCAAGCCTAAAACATACGGCCATAAAATCGGATAGTCACACCAATAAATCATAGTCATTCCAGTGACGGCGCGACCTGAGTTGCTTATAGATCATCCAGAATAACGGTTTGATATGGCCATAAAGTTCTTCTATGGTGTTTTATATACTTATAAACCCCTAATGTCTTGAACCATGAAAACTAAAGATATAAATATCTACATTAATTGGTTGGTGGATAGTTCGCATCTTGGATTAGCTCGTGATACCCAGTAGAGCCCGAGTTGAAAAAAAAAACTTGCAGCAAAATTAATGGATTTTGCAGTCAAATATGTCGTATTTGGGTCATGCAAAACTATCTAAAAATATCTCAAATCCATTGTCCATCCTTTTGCCCGTTGTGGGGTAGGCTGGGACACGGGGACGTGGTCCATTGGCGGGACCGAATCTGACTACATTATCCCAGGATCATCATCATCAAATCCACGATTCCAGTAATTATATTCCAGTCCACTAGGATCATGACATGTTTGTGATCCTCTTAAGTATGTGCCATCACTACCGGTCACTATCAATGAGTCAAATAGAGATGTTTGATGATACGTGATGATACGTGCCGTCAGCGACCTGACAGTGAAGGTCAATGTGTAAGCAGTTTTGGTTGTGAAACGTTGAAGTACGTGATGCCGACAAGCACTATAATGAGACCATTTACTCTCCGTTTGGTTCCCCGTCAAACTCAAGTACACTGAATGTGCTCTGAAATATTGGAATGTAAAACCAGGAGCCATTACCAACATCCGGGATTCTTTATTTTCTTAGAATGTTAACACTATCTCATTTCCTCTGGGGGCCGCTAAGACTCTGATCAAACAGTTCAGGACACCGTCTCAGCTCACGCTGGCCATTCTCGGATGGGTTCAACGGTTAGTTTGGAGCTGGGTATCACATATTTTCTCATTTCTAGCAAACAAATAAAATGCAATCTCTATATGCCCAGCTCACATTTACGTAGATCTACCCTCGTGTAATCTGACCTGACAATATGAGATCCCTAAAGTTCCTTGATTTATAGATCATCTTGGCTGCTGTGACATATTCATTGGTAAGACCTTGTACAATCTTCCAGCAGGTCTAGAAATGCTGGTTTTCAAGTGTAGTTACTTACCCCAAAAAGATAGCAAAGTCGTTCTCCGCTCGTCATTAGGATTTTGCTGCCTTCCACTCGCGCTCGGCCCGCCTGAACAACCTCAGCCCCCGCCACAGCGCCCACATTTTTCACCTCCAAGATGAAAAGGGGATCTGTGGAGTGTCGAAAAGTTGGGGACATCCCATGGTAGGAAACCCAATGCCCCAATCCATCACTAAAAACCTCAAAGCAGGGTTTATACTGAATGAAATTGTGTATTGTATACGACTACCATTTTACTAGTTGGATAGTTGGTATATGACCCCAACGTGTTTAGTCACTGGGGTGGCTTATGGTATTGGGTTTGTGACATTCGTCAACGGGGATCAGGTCAATTCAGGTTCCTTCCAGTAGGGCCCCCGGCCCAAAAAACAAAATTTTTAGATACTTAGATCCTCCAAGTACCCAAAAAAATGGATCCAAGTCCCACGTAACGGGGTATGTTACCACATTTCTCTAGATACTTGGACGGTCTAGGTAATTATCTGCAGATTACGTTCTTGGTTCCAAATTTCCAGGGAAATGCGGTGATTAGACTCCTAAACTTTATTGGACATGCCCACCAGAATCCCAATTCTGTTCTTTTGTAGCATAGGCGATTTTGGTTGAACCCACGAACGTTGTTAATTCTATCTGTCTCAGCATTTATAGGCCGTTTGTGTATAGAAAATAGAAATTATAATATATAATAATTAAGCGTAGAATTGTATGTTATATATGCATATACCTGGGTAATTATAATATTTCACTAACCTGAATTAAGGCCATTTTGGGATGATTCCTCTTATAAATTTTCCCAGATATATGTAGAACCACATCATTCTACCTGCACACCAGTTCCGATCCCTAGGATGCTCCGACAACATGCTTGCCTGACGATGTCTGTTGCGGCCCATACACGTTCCAAAGTACTGTTACAATAAGCGGTGCCATGAAAAAACCCGGGCTACCGTCAACCAAACTCAATCAACCGGGCATTGCTCGAAAAACGTAGACTTGAACAATAGTGGTGAAGTTTTCCTTGGCAGTGACATATATATATATATACACATACATATATCATATATATATATATATATACATATATATATACATATGCTAACCCCCCTTGAAACCTACCGGTTTCCTTTTTTTGTGTTTTACAGTGATTTTTGTTGGTTTTTGTCTTGAAAGCACACAGACTTTGGATGCTTGAACATGATGAGTCATGATGCTTCATGTGTAGATTCAATGACATATTTTGAGGGTATTTGCAGCGTTTTCGACTACCGTATTGTGTTCCGAAAAAAGTCAAATATTGACAGAATGCGCACGGCACTGTGGCCAAATGTCAATTTTGAGCCTTACACTGGTTTTTACAATGTTTCTGTTCCTTCTTGTGACACATGCTTTTTTTTGATTTTGTATGCTTTCAGATCTTGCAGGCATACTATATGATGATTCAGAATTTTGATGCTGTGCTGTTGAATGACATGCAGACAAGATGGTTGGCTCCAGATCACATTTTTAAAACTGCACATCCCCTGCAGAATCGTCTTGGCCAGCTATGGAACCATTTTGGCCATATGCCAGGAACAAAGAGAACCGCAGGCGAGCCAAAGATCACTGTTCCTGTGCCAGTACTCGTACTGGGCACTTCTGATCTTGGCACGCAGCAGTGGTGAACCGACAGTCGCGTTCTGGTTCAAAGTGATGCGCTCCTTGAGGAAAAGCCACACGCGATCAATGATCTGTGTGCCGCCTTTGGTCTTGATAAGGCGGCCAGTGAAGGGATCCTTGTGCGAGGCCAGTTTGACATAGCACGGCTTTCGCCACACCGTTTTTTCCTTCACTTTGACTCGTTTCTTGCAGTGACGCTGGTAGATCACGAGGGGGACGGATAGATTCTGGCAATGCGTCATTGTTGGCAACCGCATCCACCACCAGATTGAGAGGCCCAAGTCAGGAACAGACATCTGAACATCGAACCATGCCGGCGACCTTGCGACAGACACTGGCAACGAAGTCTGGTAGAGATAGTGGACCCTCAATCGTCTCCTCAGTCTTGGAGACAGAAGTAGGGGAATCTAGAGCCCACAGGGATCAGGACTTTCCACCATAGTTGGCCATTGCTGTGTCCACGAGGTTGTGCGCCATGGCAACGACATGTTCGTGGGAATCAGACGGGCTATAGTGAACATGCACGCTGCGATGAAGGAAGCATGTGGGAAACAAAGAAAAGCATCAATGAAGATGTGATGTTTGCGTGATGCTGAAGATCGCAATGAGAATGCAAGCAGAATGTCAACAGTATGCAGCAGACACTTAGGATGGCCTTTTCTAAAGAAATATTCGGACACCACTGCAGTTGCAAGTATTATAGGTTAGATTATTATCATTCTCATATCGAGACACATGAGATCCACCCCGAACTAGTCTAAGCAGTGTGAAACCATGGCCGTGCAAAGATCTAAGCAAACAATCGCACAATATTTTTCCAACACACGCGGGCAGGCTCATAAGGACATGCGCTTGGAGATACACGCTACCTAGCTGCTTCATAATGTTCTGGGTCTTTAGTGCAAAATAAAAACTCATGCCTTGTTCACCAGACGGCTTGTATATATTATAAGATGGCTACTAATTATCACATGCAGTTGGCTCATCAGCAGAACCATGGTCAGATGTCATTTCAGGCTCAGAAGAAGAAGAAGAAGACGACCCATCCTCATCATCAGATGCCATAGGAGCATCCACATCATTCACATCTTCAATGCCGTGTCCCTCGAGTTGACGACGTAACATGGCATTCTCCTTTGTCAGGCCGTCAATGAGTCTCTTGTGGTGATCACTCTGAATGTTTGCCTTCTCGAGCTCCGAAGATGTATGGCATCAGGCACTGAAGATGCCCTCAACGTCGTGCTTTAAGGTTTGCACTTCGGCGGCTTTCTCCTTCAGCTTGGCCTTGGCAACTTCAAGATCCATGGCACAATTTCGTGGTGGGGAACATGCTGCCTTGGGAGCCTCATCTGATGAGTCGTCCGAGCCCGAGGAGGAAGAACCTGAGGATGACGAGACAGAGGATGACTTCTTGTCTTCTGGCATCTTGCCTTCCGGCTTCCTATCTTCTAAGGCCAACTGCTCAGCACTCCTTTTGGGATTGGCCAGGAAAGTCTCAAGCCGCCTTTGCGCTTCCTCATTCCACCCACCACTCCACCGGGCTGGAGTCGAAGTTGCCGTTGTCCCCATCATGGTGGTCACATCCTTCTTCTGGAGCGGTTGTCGGGTCGGATGTGCCACCAGGGTTCCTGCCGCAATCTTGTCCAGCACCTCCTGTGTAGATGGCCGCGTCATTGTAATTTTGATGCCTGGTTCATACTGGACGCCCAAGGTCATCACAGCCATCCCATTTTGCAGCTTCACCGTTCGAATGCCATGATAGAAAGAGAGGAAGGAGTGGATGCGTTGGTTGCTGAAAGCAAAAAGCGGCACTGGAGAAGCGAGAAAGGAAGTAAGGCAAACAGACTGGAGAAGATGACATCGTAAATGCAGGAATGCGTTCAGAATGCATTCTTTCCCTAGTCTTTTGGGAATCTTAGATTTAAAACCAAGAACCAAGAACTAAGATTTGCCCGCAGGAATCTTTGGGGAATCCTAGATTTAAAACCAAGAACCAAGAACTAAGATTTGCTCAGGAGTTTGTGGGATCTTAGATTTAAAACTAAGAACTAAGATTTGCTCAGGAGTCTGTGGGGAATCTTAGTTCTTGGCTCTTGGTTTTGGTTCGGAAATTCTAAGATTTGTTCAGAAGTCCTGGGGGAATCTTAGTTCTTGGTTCTTGGTTTTGGTTCGGAGTTCTAAGATTTGTTCAGGAGTTGTGGGGGAATCCTAGTTCTTAGATCATAGTTTTAGCACAGACTGCATTCTGAATGCATTTTTCCCAAAATGCTATCATTGAAGTTAAGTTCAATCAGTCTCAATAGCATACTTATAATAGCATACTTGTTACACTATGAGAATATATATATATAGGACCCTTAGCGTGTATGTAAGGTAACCCCGTATTGACCCAAAAATCTGATAAATATGTCAAAAAGGTAGGTTTCAGCGGGGGGTGCAATATATATATAATAAATATATGTCATTAAATTATATATCGATGCAATATCACCCACAAGAAACAACCAACACCTAGTTTTGCCTTTACTGATCAGCAGGGGTCAAACTTTCTGGCCTCAGCCATACCCTCAGTTGGCTGATGCTGGATTTTCATGGACTCAACACTCATATGAAACCCCACCTATTTGCAGGTAAAATCCTCACCAATACCGTCAACCCTTCAAGACTAAACCAAGTGTAAAAAAACATTGATTAAAAAAACATACACCCCTTCAGGATAACATAGAACAAAACCGACTTTTTTAGAATTTTAACATGGAACAAATAAATGGTACATAAATGACCCCGGGAAGGTGAACATGGAACAAAAGTCAATTGTGACCGGAGCCATTTTTTTCTGAAAATGACCCCGACCTACGTTGGCTGCCCCCCAAAATCGTTCCATGTTAATTTACTAACCATCAACAAACAGTTCCATGTTAGTAGTTGCCAGGGGGTGCCACACGATTGTTTAACATAGAACTCCTGGAGGGGTCCTTTCTCAAACCTTGTTTTTGTTCCATGTTAAAACAAAGTTAACTGGGGCTCCCGGATTAGAATGACATGATAAATTTAACATGGAACTCCTGGAGGGGTCCTTTCTCAAACCTTGTTTTTGTTCCATGTTAAAACAAAGTTAACTGGGGCTCCCGGATTAGAATGACATGATAAATTTAACATGGAACTCCTGGAGGGGTCCTTTCTCAAACCTTGTTTTTGTTCCATGTTAAAACAAAGTTAACTGGGGCTCCCGGATTAGAATGACATGATAAATTTAACATGGAACTCCTGGAGGGGTCCTTTCTCAAAACTTGTTTTTGTTCCATGTTAAAACCATGTTAACTGGGGCTCCCAGATTAGAATGACATGATAAATTTAACATGGAACTCCGGGGGGTCTTGTCTCAGATTTTAAAAATGGTCCATGTTAAAAAACGTTATTGGGGTGTCATGTCC